TGGGCTCAGTGAAATTAAGGGCACTGTCTTCCCCCAGCCTGCTTTCCAGATACTTCCCCTCCATCAGAACCTCTGTGTGCAGGCTGTCCTGGGAAAAGAGGGCCCACTGAGGGCAAATAAGAAGACTTAGGAATAGTCAGAAAGCCACATTAAAACCCCATACAAGAAAATACAGATGAGCCTCCCACTCATTCTACAAATCTTTATGTAGGCCAAGTATATGCACAATATCGAGATACAAAGGAACATATCCTAAAATAAAAGTAGGTTGTAACTAGTATGTATTACCTGCTTAAGTAACTCTGACCTGGCTGAAGGGTGGGAGTGGAGTGGAGATTGTTAAATTTACAAATAAACTAACTTTGACAGCTCCTATATGTAAGACTTTTCTCCTAGGATCTAAGTTGGACTCAGCTTTAAAAAGTCGACTTCTTTACACCTTTCAGGACATCATCACGTAAAGGCAGCATACTAGAGCTGGCTTGTAACACTCAGGAGAGCTGACCATTAAATTTTCAGGAGTTGTGCAAGCTGGTTGTTAAACAGAATCATCAGTAAGCATCAAATTGTACAAACTTATAATTCAGTTGTTATATTTAAAACATTCAAACTCATCACCCCCTAATCACTTAACTACATTTTATTGCCCATGTTTGAAATTATTTGCATGTTTTATCTGTATTATGGAAATACTACAAAATGGTGTCCTACTGTGTATCTCTTCCCAACTCTGCATTTGATGACATGGCACTGGTAGCTTGACATGGTGGTAGTATTTATACCATGGAAATTGGAAACTACTGTAAACCAAGGCTTTTTTCCCCCTGCAGAGCTGGTTGTTAAACATTTACCAGCACACTGCTGGCATAGTCTCTATTATGTAATCCTGTTATATTAACTCTATTATGGTGAATCTGTTTTCAGAATCTTACTTACATAATAAAGCGGACTGGGTTAAGAAGTCTTTCCTTGGCACTGATCTCAGTGATCCGGACTACTATGTTAAATTTTACATAATCAAGCAGCCTGCAGCCCAAGCCTTTTAGCTATAAATAACATTCACAAGAGGACTATTCGAAGGATCAAGGATATTATTCAACAAGCCTTTATTTAGCAGCTACTAAGAGCAAAACTGGGTGCTGAAGGTAGGAAAGATATTAAAGAAATAGTCTGTGTTCTCATGAGACTCACAGAAGAAGTGACACAAACCTTTGATAATTTAGTGTGATACGTGCTGTAGTGGAGATACATAAGCATGGAGGAGAGAGAAGTAACTCAGGGACCATGAAAGAGACTTCATCGTGAACCTAGCCTGTAAGCCTCAGTGCCTAACTTGTTCCTCACTGGGTCCCTAGCCCCCAGCACAGTGCCTGACAAAGGGTTAGCAGTCAAAACCTTGTTGGATGAATGAAGGAGATAGCAGTTACCTTGACCCTGGAAAGATAAGCTTGCCAGGGCAGAGAAGCATGGGTAGAGGGAGGGCATTAGAATAAACAGAAGGTGCAGAGGCATGTGGGGCCAAAGAACTCAGCACATTTGAAGAAAGAGAAAGTTTAATGTGGCACAAAGGGTCCAGGGGCCAGAACTGGTAAGAATGAGAGTATGGAGAAGGGGTTCTCTGCCTCAAATCTCCTCAGAGCTTTCTAACAACAAAGAGCTGGCATGTTCTACACAGTGCCGGGGGCAGAGCTAGGAGCCATGCGGGGAGTAACAGAGAGTCAGCTTTCAGTTAGGAACTTCCTAACAGCTGTCCAACAGCGCAGTGGGCTGCCTTGGAAGGCAGTGAGCAAGTTCCCTAAGGGGGAAGCAAGTAGGTGCCAAATGGGGTGCAACAAATTGCTAAGAAACTTTTTTTCCTGACTAGATTTTGGAAGAATTTATCAAGGCTCCTTTCTTAGAGGATATTAGGTAAAACATGGACAACCGTCTTCCATAGCAGTTCTATAGAAGACAGAAACTTCCTTCAAGTGCCTGCTTCTTATGTCAATCATTGATTAAAGCTGAAGGCCATAGTGGTGCTGAAAGTACTCCCATGAAAGAATAGTATCTTTTCAAGTCACTGAGGTTTTCACTCGTTCGTGACACATTTATTCAGTATCTTTGTGTGTCAGGGTCTTTGTTAAGTGCTCAAGTACAGATATAAATGCACAGAGCCCCCGCCCTCACAGCACAGGGCAGAAATGCAAATAAGTATTTACTCTCCAAAAGACAAATAAATACTGACACTCCAATAGCCACAATACAAAGTGCTGCTGGTAACACAAAGACCCAAAATTCACTTTGCTTGGGGGACTCAGGGAAGGCCTCAGAGAGGAAGTGACTCAGAGCTGACTTCTGAAAGGTAAAAAGAAATTCACTAGGTGGGGGAGGAGAAAAATAGTCCAGGCAGAAGGAAAACATATACAGTTGACCCTTGAACAAGGCAGGAGTTAAGGGTACCAACCCCTGCTCAGTTGAAAATCCATGTATAACTTTGACTCCCCCCCAAACTTTACTACTAACAGCCTACTGGTGACCAGAAGCCTTGCCAATAACATAAACAGTTAACACATATGTTGTATATCATATGTATTATATACTGTATTCACACAATAAAGTAAGCTACAGAGAAGAAATATAATTATGGGCAAATTAGGAGAAAGTACATTTACCATATTGTACTGTATTTATTGAAAAAGATCCTCATACAAGGGGACCCATACAGTTCAAACCCATGAGGCTCAAGTGTCATCTGTATCAAGATACAGAGACATGAAAATACATGGCCAGTTTGGAGAGGTGAGTGCTTGCGAGGGTGTAGGGCAGGAGGCAATGGTAAGCAGGAGTGAAAATGTGCATGATCCAGTGCTACCAATTTTGGATTTTATTCTGAAAATGATAGGAAGCTGATAGTTGGGTTTTCTTCTGTTATTTATTTAATAAACTTTTTATTTTGGAAGGATTTTAGATTGACAGAAAAGCTGTAAAGCTAGTACAGAGTTCTTATCTTTATCCTGTTTCCCCAGTATTAATATCTTACATAGCCATGATACCTTCTTCAAGATGATGAAACCAAAACTGGTACATTACTTAACAAAGGTATTGACTTTATTCACCAGTTTTTCCACTAATGTCCTTTCACTGTCCTGGAATCCAATTCAGGATACCACATTGCACTGAATGTTATCTATTTTTTATTTCCAGTGATGGGTCGTAAGGGGAAAATAATGTGATCAGATTTGTCGGGTGTAGAAATGATCAGCGTAATTCTTAGGGCAGGTGTAAGGAAAATAAATTGGAGGGGCCCAGGTTAGCGGTGGAAGACTGGATGATGGCCTCAATCCTGTGGAAGATGAGGATGGAGAGAGGGATTGAGACCTGTTTCTGGTCTCATGGTAGAGGCCTTTCCTGAAGTAGAATGTGCAGGATAGGATGTAGGAGAGGCCAGTCTTAATCCACGGCTTACATCCAAGACATAAATATATGTGTATAACAGACTTTAAACAAAGAAGGAAAAGATCTCTGTTCCAGTAAGCTACAGAAAAGGGTGAGATTGTTTCTGCAGCTAAGCATCAGGTTTAACTCTGAGCTCCATGAAAGCCAAGGCAAAAAAGGAAAGCATGATGGCATACATACGTCTCACTGTTAAAATAAAATATACTCAAGGGAGAGAAAGAGACTGGCCATATTGGAATGGGAGAAGTTTAAATCTGAAGGGCACCCAGGGGCCAAATCATGTTTGCCCCTGATTCTGAGAACCCTAGGGAAGGTCTGTTTCTTCGCAGGGCTCTCTGTTCTGTTCTGAAGAGGATGGAACATTCTGGCATCAAGCAGAATGGGAAGCCCAGACTTAGCCTGGAAAATATCTTCATAGACAGCTAGTCAAAAGGGTATAAATCTGGAAGTGTGATTCCCTACCGGTGGGATGTGGCTCAACACCCCATCGCACCTCGTACTCCCTCCCAGTGTTCTTCCCTCCCCCACCCACTGGGGTTTCCAGTAGCTCTGCAAGGGAAGCCAGGCAGGAAGTTGAGGTCCAAAGTGGAGATGGATGTACTTATCCAAAATGGCCGAGCAAGTTAGGGATGCTGGGTGTTTCCTGTCTGGAAGGAGCAAGGGTCCTATTAATTCATGCACTCATTGAACACAGGATGGGGCACCAACCGTGGGCTTCAGGGCTGTACCCCCTGGGAGCCCACCTTCAGGTGGGAAAGACAATCAGCTCTCCCCCAAGAAGCTTGAACATGGCTGTCACTCTCAGGTGCAGGCCTTACATGCAGAAGCAAAGAAGAGATCATGTCCTGCTTCGTGAGGACCAAGGATTCAGCCGGGCTAGATTTCAACCTGGTCGTGGTGCTTGTGGGTACCCTGGAATTATGACCCCTTATTTTTGAGAGTTGACTGTTTGGTGCTGTTTCCTCTGGGTGAGAATTGTGGGAAGATACTAAAAATATTAAGATCTCCATTTTAGAGGTGGGGAGCAGACTCCGAAGTGGCGAGCCCATGACCACAAACAATTAAGAATGGCAAGTGTCCTAATTCCATCCAGAGGCCAAGCTTTGTGCACGCACCACAGAGCGCCCCACTCTGAGGGCTTCAGATTCCCAAAGCCCGCTTCCCCGCGCTGACCCCGACAGCCCATCTTTCTGCCCCGAAGTTTTCCACCTGAAGCCTAACTGGGTTTGGTCCTCCTGCACTCTGGGCGTCGCGGAGAGTCAGGGGTTAAAACCCGTGGCCCGGGCGGCCCCTTTCTCCTCCCCAACCCCCTCGCCTCTTCTCGGCGCCGCGCCTGGAGCGTCGGTCCCGGAGCCCGGCACGAGAAAGGAGGGGGGAAAGTGGGCCTGTTTCTCGGGTGGCCAATCCACCGAGCCCGCGGTGCCCCAGAGGAGGCGCCAGGGCTAGGCCAGCGCCAGGCCGGGCTGCCTGCTTCCCGCGGCAAAGTACAAATGCGCCCGAGCGCGGCGCCTGGCGCTCCTGGCGTGCACAGCCGGCCCGCGCGCAGCCCAGCCCCCGGGACCCCGCGGCCCGACCCCGAGCTCGCCGAGCAGGGGCGCCGGCTGCTGCTAGCCCGCGCGCCCGGAGCAGCCCACTGGTCCCGCGCGCCTCGCCCAGCGCTGCGCGCCCCGCAGACCCCGGTCCCCTCCGCCCCTCTTCTCCCCTCCCTCTCACCTTCTCCTTTGCTCCTGTTGCTTCTCCCTCTTGCCCTGCCTTCCTCCGTCTCTCCATCTCTCTCCCTCCTTCCCCCTTGTTCTCTGTCCACGTTCCTCTTATTCCCACCTCGGATCCCCCTTTCTGTCCTGACCACCTCCCGACCCATCTCTGACTCTCTACTGTGGCAGCAGCCCTCCCGGGGTCTGGGGTCTGCTCCGTGGCCCTGGGCCTCAGTGTCCTCGTCAGCGCACCCTCCTCCGGCGCCCCTCCCGGCTCAGCGCCGGGCGGCCTGGCCCCGCGGGAAGGAAGGATGGTTCCCGAGGTCCGGGTTCTTTCCTCCTTGCTGGGACTCGCGCTGCTCTGCTTTCCCTTGGACTCCCACGCTCGTGCCCGTAAGTGGAGGCGGGGTTGGGTGGGTGGCAGAGAGATGCGAGCCCCTGGGATGTGAGGGAAAGCGCCCGACTTGGGACCCCAAACTGTTCTGACAGCCGTCCGGGCAGCACCTGTACCGGGAGGGTGGAGACTCCTCTGCGGAACAGTTGGGCTGATGGTCCGGGAGATTGGGGAGAAACTTGGAAAGACTCAGAACCAAGGGGGCTGCTGCCATGGACCCGAGGATGTGGGGAATGAGGGCAGTAGGAGAGAGGGCAGTGTGTGCGTGCGTGCGTGCGTGCGTGTGTGTGTGTGTGTGTGTGTCTGTCTGTCTGTGGAGAGGGGCTTAGTCTTCCCAGCAGAGCGCCCCGTGTGTTAGACGGCAATGCTATGATGAAGGGGGAAAGAAGACTGCATTTAAAAAGGGGCCCGTGGAAGGAAGGAATAGCTAGGTAACTTCATTCTGTTATCTCTTTTGATCCTCACAATACTCCCATGAGGTGGGTATTATCATTTGCATTTTACAGATGAGAAAACTTAGGCTGAGAGAAGAAACTTGCTCAAGTATACAGAGCTAGTAAGCCATCCAAAGCCAGAACCCTTCATTCAGTTCCAAATCCCCTGCTTTCCCCGCTGCCGCACAGCATCTGGCAGGAACCCGGACTTGGGGTATGAAGCTCTGGGAGGCATCAGGGCACAGTAAGATAGACCAGTCTTCATTACCCCAGATTTGTTAAACACAGCTGGTGAAAGGCAGGCTTGGGGGGCACCTCTCTGTGCCTCAATTTCCTAATCTATAAAACAGGAGTAAAAATATCCCAGGACTCTTGTGAGGATTAAATTCGAAAAAACATGTCAAGTAACTGGCACCAGCAACTAGCTGCTTCATGGCAGGTTTTTAAAAAATATCAGTTCCTTATTCATGCTTTTCCACTTAGATACAGTGTAACCTCCATTTATGCAATCTCTCTGAACCTCAGTTTCCTCCCTGCCTCCACAGTAGGCTGGTGGACCCCCTCCACATCCCCAATCTCTTAGAATATTGTGAAGATGGAAAACAAAACCAAAGATTCTCTCAATGAGAAGGATGGAGCTTAGTTCAAATCCTGAAATACACAATAAAGAAACTGAGGCCAAAGAGAGGCAGTGATTTGCCCCAGGTTACACCAGGGCAGAGGGGATGAAGCCCCCGGTGTCCCAACTCCCAGCCTAGTGCTCTTCCCTCTCTGCAGCTCAGCTCTCCGCCACCCCCCACCCCCCCTCTGCTCCCTGCCTTTCTTATGCATGTGACTTTCTGGAGCCAGCGGTGCTGGATTTTGTTTCATTCTTGTCTCTGCTTGTGAGGGCAGGCTGCATGTCTGGTCATCTCTGGGCTGCCAGCAGCATGAGACTCATAGAAGTCCTCAGTAAGAAGTAATGGAGAGAGCTCAGTCTTGGGTTCAAGTCCTGCCTCTGCCCCTTGATATCTGTGTGATTTTCATAAGTCACAACTTCTCCGAGCCTCATTTCTTCATTTTTCTAAGACACATACCCACCTGGAACTGAAAGCGTTCTTAAAAGGATTAAAGGAAGTGACTGTGTTACAGTGCCCAGCACAATGCTTGGTTCTCAAAGAATGTCTCCTCCCCCTCCCTGAGCCCTGAAGGTTTCCTCCTGACACTTACCTGTTGTTTCTTGAAAGGGACTTAACACAGGATACCCTCCACTTCTTCACTTCTACTTGGCACATCATTCTCAGCCCCCAACGTTTTTCTCCAGATATTGCTGCCCTTAATGCACCTTAGAAAGATGTCCTAGAATCAGATAGTTATGCAGTATTGCTCATATCTTGCCCACATCTCTCCTCTTGGCCTCCCATATTTTGTCAGCCTTTCACAACCTTGCTCAGGTCACACCTCTTCAGCAAACTTTCCCTGGCCACCTGATCCTCTCTGATCTCCTTCCTCTGTACCTTCATTGGCCTTCAGGTCTGTACCTCTCACTGGGTCCTGCCACTACTCTGTCTTCCCTACAGCTGGGAACTAGCTCCAGACATGGAAGAAAACAACCTGGAGCAGACTCATTGAGTTAAGGTGAGGTGGACAGCAATATTCAGAGAGGTGTGTTAAGATTTTGCGAAGTCAGAGCTGGAAGAACCTTCAAAAACAATCTGCTTCCACCACTCAATTTTCCAATCCTTGTAGTTAAATTGAAACCCAGAAAGGGGGAGTGACTTGCTCAAGGTCATGCATCAAATTTATTTAATTTAAGAGAAGATTAGAGACCTGGACCCTAGTCTCTGATTTGTCACTCATTGGTTGTGTGAATGGGGGCAAATCACTTCCCTTTTCTGAGCCTCATTTGTCTAGTGTTGAATCTAGAAACAATGCTATCGTCATTTACCAGGGTCCTATTTGAAGGTCTCTTATGAAGGTCCTTGTTTGAGTTTAAGTAATATCTCAGGCCTGTTGCAGCTCCTGGTGACATCTTAGGTGCTTTCAGCGGTGGTGCTAACTGATGGAAATTCTCAAGTCTGCACGGTGGCCCAGCCCTGCAGAATGCCAAGGGCCTGTGAGCACGCGTGGCAGCTTGCTCCTCAGTTACAATACAAGGCTATTCAAACAAAGGTAATTCTATCCTTGGCTCTATTTCCAGCCACAGATTGAGTCCTGATCCCAGCCCAGACTGTGTCTCAAATCCAAGCACAGGCTGAGCCCTAATCCTCAAACTCTGACCACAGACTGAACCCCCATTCCCAGCCTGACCTGATACTGATCCCAGTGCCACACAAGGCCACATATATGCATGAAGTCAGGCACCCATCCCTCTGTGGAATGAGAACCTGCCAGTGTCATGACTCTCTCTGCAGCTCTTTCCCCTGTGTCAGCTCCTCTCATTTGTGCTCTTCTCTTATGAATTGCCCCCAACTTCAAGGTATTCACCACATTTCTGCTTTCTCTTTCTTCCCTCCACCCAATCCTGTCTTCAGGAGAGAGTCAATAATCAGGTAAAAACATCGATCTCTCTATTCTTTCTCAAAGGGTTATGTATACTATAGAAATCATGGCTTCTGTTCCAAGGTGATGGAATCCCAGACCCTGGAGGCAGGGATGGGGTGGGAAGGGAGCTCCCATGGTCTGATGTGGTTCAGACAGGAACTTGGAATCAGGAGATCAGGGCTCCAGCTCTGGCTCTGCTACCAACTGCAGCTGTGACACAGGGCAAGTTGCCTTTCTCTGCCTCTTACTCAGATTTCCCAGTGAGATGGTTAGGCCCAAACAGGTATCACTGAGGACCATTCTGGCTTTAAACATCACAGGATTCTAAGATTCTAAGATCCAAAGATGCTGTTCTTAACTCTGAGTCTTCTCTGATGTTTGGAAAAGGGAGAAGGGGGCGTGTGCATCTGCAGCCTGGTACCCCGGCCCTGCCAGGGAGGAGTAGCTGGACCCTCAGACACCTAGAGAAGTACCTAGAGGGCCTGGGGTAGTGGGTGTAGGAGACCTGCCAGTGGGGACCCCATCCTGCTGTTCATCCTAATCGTATGCCAGTCCACCTGTCCAGATGTACATGAGGAGGTGAGAGGCGCCTGAATGAAGGCCTGACATCCCACTCGGGCAGGCCCCTCTCTGGATGTGTCTAGGAGGTTCTGCACTTCCTCTCTGTCACCAGTAGAGGTCTCTGTCTCACTCGCTCGCATGCAGGCTGCTGAGCAGAGCCCGCCAACAGCTGCGCAGTTGATTCAGCTGCTGCACCTGTTCCAGGACTGCCTCTCAAGTTCCACCAGCCACTGGCCACAGTGCCCAGCTCTGGGAGGGGATCTTGAAGCCCTTGGACTTCCAAGGAAAGGGACTGGCCTGAGAGCGGTGCCCCGGGAGGTGCAGTGCAGAGATCATGCAGGCATCCCCCTGCCTCAGGGCAGGATCCCATCCCAGAAAAAGCTGTTCCACAGTCTTCTGTTACCCACTCTTGTAGTCAGGATTCTTCCTTATGTCTCACCTGGATCCTTTTGTCTGCTATTTAAAGCCACTTCAGGTCCTGTCCCTTGGGGGATGGGTGTTCCTGTAAGCACCTGCCTCAGACCTGAAGACTGGAATTGGAGTTTGATTTTAGGCAGGTCCCAAGACCTCTCTGAGACTCTGTTTCCACATCTCTAAAATAGAGGATTGGTTGTCACCTCTCAGTCCCTAACTTTCTAAGAATCTGGAATCTTAAGTGTGTATGTCCAAGGCATAATAGAATGTATCAGTCTCATCTCTGCCCCTTGGCCTTTGCCAGGTAACAGAGGAGCCTTTCCTGATTTGAGGATTCTCTCCTTGTAGGTCTTCCTGTGCTCCTGAACATTTGTCATGTGCTAGAAAAGAGGAGGCAGGGGCCCATTCCCAGGTTACACAGCTCAGCAACTGAGGAGCTGAAGGTCTCATTTCAAATTCCTTTAGGAGACCTCCCCCATAGAGCGCCTGTGCCCAGAGCAGAGCTATGTCTTAGAGGGGAGCAAGTTTCTGTGAAAAGGGGACTATAAATAAAGAAAGTAAGTATGGCTGTGTGGGTGCAAGGGAAAAGATGTAAACATTCTCACATTCCAGTGAAGCCGGGTTCACTCAGGTTTCCCGAGTTCTTGCAGGCTGGGGACGTGCCAGCCACAGTTCCAGGCCTCTCTCCTCATGCTGTCCTTGCAACCTAGAAGCATCTTTCTAGTTGTCCTTTCTGCTTCCTATTGGAAGAACTCCCGACCACACTACCCACTTTACTCACCCCTGTCAGACCTTTTATAGCACGTGAGTTTCAGGGATGACCTTGGGTGGGACAGCTTGGAAATTCTGACTTACATGTGACGATGATGGAATCACCTCTTTACCTGCCCAGGCTCCTGTCCATTTTGTACATGATGTTTGGTTTGGCAGATAGTTTGGGAGTTCCAATGGGTGGGAACTGGAAAAAGGAAAGTCAAAACTAACCCCTGTTAGGTGGCAAGGTCAAAGTGCTAAGGATGGCTCTCTTACCTCATAATAAAGTATTCATTTTGTTAGAGAAAGGGGTTTCCAGGACTAAGGGCCATCAATCACCTCCTCTTCCAGAACCTCTTGTCTCCCTTGAATCCACTCTTTCTTTCATTATGCCTCCATTTATTGAGCGGCAGCTCTCTGTAGGCTTTGCACAGAGCACTGAAGATACAAAAACTAACGAGATGTGATCCTTGCTCTTGGGAAGCTGACAGTTTAGTAATGACGAAGAACCCACTTTGTAAGTACTTTTTATTACCACATTCCATTTCATTCAGCCATAGGGATGATTCTAAATGCAAACCTGATCACAGTCATGCCCCAGTTTAAAGGTTTTCCATGGCTTTCCTTTGCCCTTTCATGCCTCTCTCCAGCCTGACCTCTGGCCTCTCACCCATGTGCTCCCATTCTCTCCTCCAACCTTTCTGACCACTTCCATCTCTGTATTCCAGCCCAAGGTCTGTATAGGCAGTGGCGGTGTTGAGAGGGTCTGGCTTGTGAGTGCAGGGAGAGGGCAGGGAGCCACAGGAAATAGGGCCAGGGAGTTTATAAATGAAACCAGGGAGATTCAACCTCTGTGGCAGGTGCCCTGATGTTCATGTCCTAGTAGATACCTTGGGGTTGCCTGTAGAATTCTGGGAGCAAAAAGAAACAGTAGGGAAATTTGGGGTCAGTACCCAGATCTGCTTTTTGTCTGTTTGTTTTTACCTATATTTAATGGAGCATCTAATATGTGTCAGGCACTAGGCATATTACATATATTATCTGACTTAATTCTACAATAACCCTGAAAGGTAGAGAGTATTACTGATCCCAAATAATAGATATAGAAACCCCCTTAAGGGGTTTCGCTATCATAGCACTGGATGGTTAGGCCTAGCATGGCTAAGTAACTCGTCTAAACTCAGGCTGCAGATAAAAGCCAAATCTAATTTGAACCTCAGCCTATCTTACTCCAAAGCCAGGGTCTTTGGAGTATTTACACACATTCGTTGAGCATGGGGTTTTGAAGGGCATGAGACCTCTCCAACTCTAATTCTTCTTTATGTCTCTAAAGCTCAGAACAGTGCCAATTGTCCTCCTCAAATGAAAACTTCCTTCACTAACCTCGTTTTCCTGGGTTAGATGTCACTGCCAGGGCCATTAACTCCTAAAGGTCCCTGGGAGAGGGCGCTGAGAGATGAGGGCACCGGGTCGGGGGTAGGGGGCAGGATTTGAGATACAGCCATGGTGTAGGGAGAGGAAGCAGGGCAGGCTTGAGGCCAGGGCAGGGGTGGGAAGGCAGCAGAAGACCGAAGGGGGTAGATAGGAAAGGAGGGGATGTGAGAGACAAACTTTGCCCCCTCTCCACGTCACTCAGGATAGGCTCCTTTGACTCCTGGAACCCCATCCTAGCCCACCTTGGAGCCCCTGAGAGCCTGGGCGTATGGAGCCATCAACACATCTTAAATCACAGAAGACTGAAATGATCAAATCTTAGAACCACAAAACTGTACAATTCTAAAAGCTCCATGTTCTAAAGAAATGTAGGCTCTTTGCAACATGGAATTCTCAAATCTTAGAAACCTAGAACTCTGGAGTCTTAGACTTTTGAAATCATAGATTCACAAACAGTGTGCAGAAAACCTTTGGTCAAAGTTTACACCCCTTGTCCCTTATTTTGCAGATGGCAACTGAGGCTCAGAGAAGGGAAGAGTCTTCCTCAAGGTCACCCAGTAAACTCATAGCATAAGGAGGTAGAGCTCCTTCCACCAGCCATGTGCAAGTACTGGGCTCACACCAGGGCTGCAGCAACGGAGGCAGCCTGCGGTCTGGCAGTTCCTCCTCCCGCCTGGCTTTGGCATGACCTTGGGCAGTCCCCTCCCTAGAAGAGGGAGCTGCAGGCAGTGCCACCCTTCCTGTGCCTCTCACCTTGGAGGGTGTGGTGGGGAGGGAATCGTGGCCACAGGAGGCCTCCTGGGCTTGAGGGACAGCCTGCCAGGCCCCCCACACCCTCAGCCACTGCCAGGTCTGTTGGTGGGGAGAAGGGCCTCCAGGCCTGGGCACGGGCTGAGACATCTCTCTGTTGTCATGCTCTGAGCAGGCTGTGGCTGGGGGTGTAGGGTTAACTGGCACCAGGGCCAGGCTGCAGGGCTGCCCCAAGGAAGGTGGGACAGGGTTTCTTCTGCAACAAGGCTGAGACCTAAGGCCGAGGTAGTGTTGCAATCACCCTCCTCCCTGGTGGGGGAGGGCACTGAGGAAGAAAGACATCATTCAGTCCTTGGAGGGCTGGGCTGGCTCTGATGAGCACCCGAGCTGGGCCCACGTCCCGCTCTCCTCTCTGCCCGCCGAGGCTGAGAGATAAACACAGCTCATTTGATATGGGGCAGCCAGGCCTTGCTGGGAAGGGAACCCTCTACTTTGTGGGGCTGGGGAGGGAGCTCAGCCATGTATTTCTGTGGTCCCCATGGGCTACTGAAGCACAAACTCTGAGGACATCACGATCACAGCCTCAAATCTTTGTTCTGGGAGGCCCAAAAGGCAGAGCAGTGCCTCGGGCCAGAGGCAGCTGGGTTCAGCCTCGCTTCTTACAAAGGAAGCTTCCCGAGGTCAGGAATGGCCTTTGGGCTCTTCTGCCAGCCCCTCCCCTACACTGAGAGGGAACTTCTGCATTGGATGTGAGCTGCCCCTGCTCCTGTACTTTCAATGTTCTCTATTCCGTGAGTTTAAACATCTAAGAGAATGATGCAGAAAGCGTGAGACTCTAGAAAGTGGGCAGAAGGCATGAAAGCCAGCCTCTAGATTCTAGACCAACAGGGATCAGGATTAAAAAATAGGGAATGGTGGGTGGTGGCCGGAGGGACAGAGACAAGGAACCTCTAGGCTCCTGAAATTGGGCAAAAAAGCCATAGGGAGTGAGGGAACTGAAGGGCCCCTGGAGTCCTGGGTTCAAATCCCTAGCGGATGGCCTAAGGCAAGTCATTTAGTCTCTGAGATCCACTAGTTTTCTCATAATTATGTTGACACTCCAGTGACCCTGCAGCACAGATGTTATTATCCTGAATGGATCACATCTGCAGGGCCACTGTTGTCATCATTTTCACAATATTAGCATTTGGTGAAGTGTCAGGAACCAGGCTAAGGAGGCACTTTGCAAGCATTATCCAATTTAATTCTCAAAACAATAGTATTAATGTGAAAATTAAGTAACCTTCATAAAAGGAAGATAGTCAATAATCACTGGTTCCTTTCTCCATATTTTAATCTCATTTAATTCAACAAACCTTTGCAGACCATGAGCTTGTGCTGGTCCCCCTAGTTCCTCCCTAAAGAGCTCAGATTATTCTTTAGGAAATGGGGAGTTTCTCATAGGAACGATAGCATCCTTTCTAGGTTGCTAAAATCCCCAGGTACCTGTGTGGAGGAGGGTTGCAGGGAACCGGCAGGAGGCAGAGGGGTGGGGCAGGCACTGCAGTGCCGACCAGGAGCCCTGAGCCGAGGCTAGGTGGCAAGGTAGGAGGTGAGGGTTGAAGTGTTCTAGAGGCAGCCTGAAGGGTTGGGCGATTGATTGGCTATGAGAAGTGAGAGAGTGGAGGATTCAGGAAAGCAGGGTTGCAGGAGAGGTATCTAACCCACCTATGGAGACAAAACTATTTCCATCATTCTTAGAAACATTCATCTACGTATTGACTACATATTGAGATGCAGATTACAAAAGTAACCAATGATCTTATCGTAGTAGTAGCAGTGACCATTTTTCAGGGTACATAAAAGCTGGTTTCCTAATAATCTTTCCCCGGGCAGCACTTTGTTTTCCCAGTTCAAGCACTCGTCATTGGGGCTTCTTGCTGAGATAGAAGGACGCAGGGTAGTACAAAGGCAGGAAAGCTGCTGTGAGGGGCTTTATTCAAAAGGTAGGTCACAGGCCCCAGAGAGAGGGTGTGGGTGTGTGTGCGTGTGTACAGAGGGAGAGGGTCAGACGAGGGGAAGGTGCACAGATGTAGTAAATAAATAAGCAAAATGGGACCAAGAAAAAGGAAGCAAGTGTGATTACGAGGGCAGAAGGGGCACTGGGCCAAGTGAGGAGACTTGAGCTGTCATCCCTGCTTGGTGACAGATCTGCTGTGTTACCTTAGGGGTATAATTTATCCTCTCTGGGCCTCAGATTATTTGTCTAAGAGTAATAACTAACATGTATACCACAATTCAAATCTGTGAAGCACTTCAACTCCCTGATCTACTAACTGCCCTGCAAGAGAAATGTTAAAGCTTGGAGAGGGGCAGCTACATGTCCAAAGTCACACAGCATGTGTGTCGTCAAGCTGAAATTCAGATGTAGACATTTCTGGGCCCCTGCCTGGGAGAGCATGTCCAGTGGATTCTCTTTCACTTGAGTGTCCCAGATAACATCCTTCTTAGAAAGATGAAGGAATGAGGCAGGGTCTTTGGGCTGGAGCCCTCAGGACTGACAAAGCTCTGGTTGGTTTGCCAGGTCCAGATATGTTCTGCCTTTTCCATGGGAAGAGATACTCCCCCGGTGAGAGCTGGCACCCCTACCTGGAGCCACAGGGCCTGATGTACTGCTTGCGCTGTACTTGCTCCGAGGTAAGTTTCTTGGCAGTGGCAGCTATGTCCAGGAGAATCCCACGGAAGTTACCCCAGAGGGAGAGAGGAGAGCCTGACCCTGGAGGTCAGGGCGTTCTGGAACCAGCCCTCTAGAATCATGCTCTGTCAGCAGCAGCTGAGGGACTTAGGTCCACACCACGTCCCTGCCAAGTACTCAATACTCACAGCAGCTGGCTACTGTGGCTTCTCTGAGATAAGTCACACAGTGGGTCAGCGGCTGGGCTGGACTGAGGACCCCAACCTGCTTTCCACCTCTGCTGGTGCCGCCTCCCTCTGCACCATTAGGCAGAAGACAGCCCTTCTGGCCTCCTATTCCTTCCTTTCCTTGCACTCTTTCCTCCAGCCGCCTCTCTCATCACCCTGCCTTAAGATGCATTCTCCCAATGCCCCTAGGCCAAAGACTTAATCTTCTAGGCTTTGCCAAATACCACCTCCACCAGCAGCCTTACTTGAACCCTCATGTGAAAGTATTTTCTTCCGGGACACCACATATGCTTCCCATCCTCCTGGTCACCATTGGTCAGGAGTAATGGTTATCTGAGTCTGTCAGTTACCCACCGCCCCACGGAGCCCCTGAGAGCAGGTCTTCCTGGGTGCTCACTTGTGCCCAGTTCAGTGTCCTGCTGAAGGCTAACAAGTCTTTTTGGTCACCTCTGTCTCCTTCCACCCAACTCTGACCTAGCACCCTCCACAGGGCCTTGTACAGTGACTGGGTGGAGTAAATGAGACCCTCATGAGCTCCAGAATTCTCAAGGCACATCTGAGTTTGGTTGGATGGGGAAGGAGGGAGTGGTTTAGAAGGTCCTGAAACATCCTCCCCTCTAGCTCAGCTGCCTGGGGCGCAGCCTGGTTGATGTGAAATCCTCAGCTCTCTGTCTGGGTACTGGGGCTTGGGGGAGGGCTACCTGGCTCCCAGGTGGAGCCAGCCCCTTGGCACCTCTCTCTTCCTGCACAAAGTTGAAAGAGGAGTGCAGATGGCCTGTAAGAGGCTCCCTTGTGAACCAGTCCTCGGTGTGGGAGCAGAGAAGAGCTTCTGAGGAGACGCGGGGAGGTGGAGGGGCGTGGGCCAGCCCCTTGCTGACACTGACCACCGTGGCCTCACTCCTCCCAGGGCCTCTGATTCTCCGCAGCTTTACCACATCGGCCCCACGTAGAACTCTGATGCCAGTGAGGACACAACCCCCCACAATTGCCTCCCCTTGGTTTTCCTTAGCACATCTGAGGCCAATCGACCTTTACAAAAAGAACTTCATGAAATAGAGCCAGCGAACCGAAAGGAAACCATAACTGAAAATTCCAGACATATCATGTGGTCCAGTTGACAGAGTCCGAGTTCTGTGATCCACTGGAGCTTGTTCATTTCTCCCAGAGTTCACACATTCCCAGTTTCCTCAGCCCAAGGAACTGTTGCTGATAGCTGCAAAACATGAGCCCCTCTACTTCTGTCCACCCTCGCTGCTCCCCCTGATGTAAGCCACCCCTCTCTCTCACCTGGGGCTCCTCCAGCAGCCTCCCAGTGGGTGGCTCTCTAAGTCTGTCCTTCACACAGCAGCTAGAAGGATCTTTTCTGGACATAAAATCGATCATGTCACCACACTCTGAAAATCTTCCAATAGCTTTGTGTTGCGCTGAAAGTGAAATCCAGATTTCCTGCATGATCTGACTTCCGCCGTACTCTCAAACCTCGTTTCCTACCTGCACCAACATTTCAACCCCATTCCTGCTTGTTCCTCCACGTGAGATGTTCTAACCCCTGATCTTCTCATGAATGGTTCCTTGTTATCTTGCATGTCATGACATTAATGGTATCTCCTCGTGAGGCTTTCTCTGACAGCTGTTTCTAGAATGGTCTAACCTGGTTAACTCCACCACATTACCCTGTTTTACTATTGTTATAAATTTAACATCTGAAATGATCTTGTTCCTACGTGTTTATTTTTTATAGTCTGTCTCCTGCTGCTAGGGTGTGAGCTCCGTGAGAGCAGAAACCTTGTCAGTCTTGCCATTATGTCCCCAGAGCTGAGAAGAGGGCCTGGCACACAATAGTCATGCAGGAAATAGTGAGTGAATGAATGGGTCTCCACCCTGTCGACCAGAGGCACTCAGCCTGTTGGAAGGTACATGGACCCTGGAGACAGAGTGCGATCTTAGACAACTTCTTGGAAACTCTTTTCCTGTTTTGAAAGTGTAAATAATAGTACCTACCTCTGGGGTTGTTGAGAAGATGAAGTGAGACAATATATTTATGTGCAACATAAAGCCCCTACCTAGCTGCCACTCAATAAGTGGTAGTTACGGCTTTCCTGAGAGGCTGCAAGGCCTCCATCCCGCCCCCACCGACCCCCGCCCTTTCAACCTCAGCCTGTCTCCACCTTATTTTCTGCTTCCTGTTACTCATCATGTCCAGCCCTTGGCTCATCCAAGGCCGGAATCAGGAAAGAGACACAACTCTTCAGGCCACGTGGTTACTTGACCTCCAGCCTAGTTTCTCATCTGAGGGGATCAATTTACCCACTAGACATTTAATAAGCACCTGGGTGGGCTGGGCCTCTTGGAAGTCCCTTTTGGAGCTCAGACCTATTCTGTGGACTCCAGGATGCCCCTCAGGACTGACTGGCCCTTGTGAGCCCCTGGCCATCCTGGAAAGTAGTGACCCTAGAGGGACTGGTCCTGCTGCAGGGTTTTGCATGGGGCAAGGGGTGCTGTCAGAGAACTCGGGGTGGGGGGGCAAGGGGGCTGGAAACAAACTTGCCAACTTCAAAGTTTGAAGGAAGTTGGCTCCATTTATCTGAGAAACCATCTATCCTTCATCTCCTGGCTCTCATTCATCCACTCATTCATTCATTCATTCATTCAGACTTTAGTAGCCACTAGCTTGGAATAAGGCCCTTGGCTAACAATTCAGAGATGAATAGCACAAGTCTTGGTTCTTGTTCTTGGGAATTTGTGGTTGAATCAATTAGATAGATGTAAATGGTTTGTTACAACACAGTGCACTGACCCTTATAATGGAGGGAAGAATAAGGCATGGCGTGCCTAGGACCGGCTGACACACTCTGTCTAGAGAGCTGGGAAAACCTCCAAAAGGGATGCTGGCCTCTCTCCAGCTCCTCTGTTTCTGCTCCTCTCTCTCTGCACGTGTTCCTCTGCCCTATCTCTTTCATTTGCTGCCCTTGAAAAAGCACAAGAACTCTGGGTCTTCCTTTTCTCCTCCTCCTCCTCCAAAGGACTTTGTGCAGTCACCTCCCACAGATTTAGGGAGTGGATCCCAAAGCCCTAAGTTTTCTCCATATCAGGTATCTAGTTGTGTTGCCATCCCTGTTACCTGCCCTCATGCATCACATTCCTCTTTTAACTATGAAGCTTAGGCCCAAAAGTAAAAGAACAAAAGCTCCAGAGTTAAAATAACACAGTCAAGGTCAAGGCTTAAATACTTTTACTTCTATTTCTCAAATACCTTGAAGGGGACACACGGTCTGTGCAAATCCATGCACACTGTGTCCTCTTTTGTGGTCAGGGAAGGATATAGATGGCAGAGCCTCACCAGGGAGCAGGGGAAGGGGAGAGACTGAACAAACTGAGTTTTTTTTATCCCATCACAGGCTTAAAACGAGTGCAGTGCCCTGCAGTTGGGATGGGGTTTGGGAGAGGATGGGTTCAGGTGGGATGCAATGGCCCTTTGGGAACAGGACCAACTCTATGTCCCCTTTAGAGTGCCCACGTGAGTTGTTACCGCCTCCACTGCCCTCCTGTTCACTGCCCTGAGCCTGTGACCGAGCCACAGCAGTGCTGTCCCCGATGTGTGGGTAAGTAGCCTTGCTCCTCCCCTTGTGCCAGCCTCCCCCTTGCCCACTAACCCTTATCCCAACCCCCCATGCCAGCCTCTGGAATGAGAGGGGCAGTGTCTAGCCATCAGAGATATTGAGACACAAAGGTGCCCAGGGGAAGAAACATCCTGAATCCTTACAGAGGGCTGAGGTGCTGGTAAAACTTCTTATTCTTAAGCATCTGTACATAGCAGGAGAGAGAAAATGTAGCTGAAGGAAATAGGTGTGTGCTTGACCTGCTGACGGCACACCTGGTCTCCACTCCCTTGGCTGGCCAGGGCCAGGAAGTGCACAAGCCCTGTGCAGGTGGCACGGGTAAGCTGGGGCTGAGAGTTACACCCTGGGGCAAGGCGCGACTGAAGGAGTTGGAGTATGTGTGCTCTGAGATTCCTCCCAGACAGTGCATGTGTCCCGATGCGAAATGTCTATGATTCCATGCTGTTAAGATTCCAAGAGCCTTTGAGGCTGGGATTCTAGGAAGCAGAGGTAAGAGAGAGGAAATGACAAGTGGCCCGAGAAGAAAGTGGCATAACTGAGTGTACACCGAGTTGCCAATGACGGGCAGCTGGTGGGAAGGCCAACTTAGAAGTAGGGAGATGTTGAGAGGAGAACCCATGTTTAGAAGCATCAAGAAGGTGATGAATGGGGGGTTCCAGACTGTGGTTTCCAGGCTCTGGACCAGGGCTCTCCTGGTGAGTTGGGGACCTGTGTGAAGTATATACTTAGAGGGGCTCATTTTCCAAGTTGGACCCTTACAGAGATCTGACCATAACTCTGACTTGGGTCATAGATATTCCTGGCTCTGGGTTCCCTTGGGGAGCAGGGGCTCTGAGCTTCATCCCGTTCAGTGAGGGGGCCTTCTGCCTCCTCCCTGGCTGAGGCTGGCCCCAGGAATCCTTACCTCTCCACGCTGACTATGTGCTTTGGCCCTTTCTTCCTCACATCCTCCTGTCTCCCTCTTTTTCCATGCCCTGCCCCTTCGGCTGCCTGGCTCTCTGTTCAGTACTCAGCTCAGTCATCAGCCCCTTCTGGAGCTGGCCCCGCCCACCCCAGCTGAGGTAGGGGCCCTCCTCTGGCTGCCTCAGCTCAAGCATTCCCATCCGCCCCAGCCCTTACCATACCACCATGTCACTGCTGTGGCATGTCTCTCTACCCATTTAGATTGTGAGTTTCTTGTTGAGAAAGGCTGAGTCTTTTTCTGCACTCTGTGCTCAATGCCTAGCATGATGCCTGCTACAGGGCAGGTGCTTAGTAAAGTATCTGAAAGACTGAGTGGATTCTCCCAAGACCAGAGGCTTACCCTGCTACCTGGCAGGATAAGGCCTGGCTAATAGCAGGTGGTGAGAAGTGGGGCTCTGGTGGCCAGTGAATGACAGGTGCTTCCAAGCACAGGGATATCTAAAATCATACCGGCTGACTCTACTGGAATGTAACTCCACGTAGGACCTTGTTTTGTTCCTTGCTGAGTCCCTGGCCCCTAAAACAGAGCCTGGCACTAGGAGGTGCTCCATGGATGCTCACAGGAATGTTGAATCAACTGACGCCCTGAGAGGAGCTCTGTGGAGCTGAGGCTTCTGGCCTTGCCCTTGGGCTGTGGTCAGGGCCAGCTCAGACCTTGGTGGACATGTTCAAATGTAGGTGTCAGTGAGACCTCTTGGTTGGCTGATATGGGGACTGGCTGGGAAGACTGAGGCTATAGCTCAGTTGAAATGCCAAGATGGGATAAAATGCAAAATCTTTGGAAAAGTGGCCCAGTTGATTTTGGCAAAGCACTTAGTGAAACTTCATTTTCTTCGTCCTCCTGTCCCTTCCCATCTGCAGAACCTCACACCCCCTCTGGGCTCCGGGCCCTCCCAAAGTCCTGCCAGCACAATGGGACCATGTACCAGCACGGAGAGATCTTCAGCGCCCATGAGCTGCTCCCTTCCCATCTGCCCAACCAGTGTGTCCTCTGCAGCTGTAGTGTAAGACCTTCCACCTTCCTTTTAGCGTAGGCCAGAGGGCTGGGCCTGCAAAGCCCAGTGGTGTGGACTGGGGAGAAACTGTTCCCCCAGTCAAGGCAAAGCAAGAGTGAATGGGCCTGGGGGAAGGAAACATCTGGGTTTTGGAAAATCTTACTCTTCTCTGGGCTTCCACACCTTCCCGAGCTGCCTGTTACAGCAGGGGTCATTTTATACTGCCATTTGCCCACTTGTGTTTCCCCCAGTAGACTGTCCTCCTTGAGGGGAAGGAACATAACCCAACTCATTTCTGTACACTCCACTGCTTCCGGCCCAGGACCTGACACACAGATGTCTATAATGACTATTGGATGAGTATGAATGAGGGGATGATCAGTTACCCATCCTAGGGCATGGAGATAGGGCCAGACTTTTTGTAGCAAATGGAATTTAATCTGAAGCTGCTTAAACTCCTCTGCTGTGATCAGAGTTGGGCCCAGGGAGAGGCAGGCTGACACTGCATTATCATCAGGGGACATAGGCTGAAACCAAGCAAGGCCTGATCTGGAGACTTCACCCTCTTCCTCGGCAGGATCTAGGTGTGGTCCTGCTGTGGGTTTGCAGGTGGCTTTCAGTGTGTCATTCTTACCCTTGGGCTTCGCTTGTCTGTGCATTGGCAGGAGAAACTCCTGCCCTCCCAATTACCTTTATTACCTTATTCTCAGACTTCTCTGGCCTCAATTTCTTTGACCGTGGAAGGGAGTCTGATTGGGTGACCTTCAGTATCTTCTCTGTTTAAAACAATAACCTGACTTAGCATTGACGTGAGTGTAAGAGGCCTAGGCGAGGTGCTGGACACCTGTGTTCAAGCTCTAGCTCTGCCGTGGTTCCCTGGGTGACCTTGAGTGAGTTGCCGCTCTTGGGCCTGCCTCCTCATCTTCTCAGTGAGAGGATCGCATCACTCTGAGACTCCAAATCTGCTGCAGAGCAAACAACTTAGGAGTGTTTAGCACTAGGAGCCATCACTTACAAGTCAACCGGGAGAGTGGTTATTTTTGCAGGGCCTAAGCCTCTTGCAGTGGTCAAGTGCTCTGTACCTACTAAGTACCTGGTAGTCCTGTGTTTATACACAGAATCCCAATGACCTTAGGAGGATATCACTGTTCTTACTTTTCAGATGAGGAAACTGAGGCTCAGAGCAGTTCAGCAACTTGCCTAGAGTCACACAGCTAGTTAAGTGACAGAGCCAGAATTCAGAAGCAGGGCCAACATACTTGACTCCTAAGCCCATGTTCCTGTCCTTACGCTGTGCTGCTTCCTATGAAGGGATGAGGACCTGGGAGGACAGGAGGAGGGGGCTGTGGAAGAGACAGAAATGATGGTGGTGGGGTGGTGAGAACAGTCTGTGAGTCCTTGTCCCTCCTCCCTGGGCACTTGGATCTCCCCTTCTCTCTCCTCATCCCTGTTTACATGGGACTGGCTTGACTCTGACCTCATTTGAAGGATCAGAATCCTAACTTCTGAGACTCGCTGCAAAAACAACAGAAACCACAGGGAAAGGACTCAAGGTTGCATCACTTCCTCCCAGGTACCTTGTGCCTATAGTTTAAAGAGGGTTTTAACCACCTTTTCCTCCTTTGATCTTCACAGCCCAGATGGGAGTGCCCCCATTTCACAGAGAAGGAAATTGAGGTTCAGAGAAGAGAAGTGGCTCCCCAAGAGTCCTCTGGCCTCCTGACTCCCAGAAGGCTCTGTCCTCTGTAGTCTTGCTTTTCCAGGCTGGGTCCTGAGGGTGAGGACCCAAGGCTTTCAGCGAGAACAAGATGAGCCCAAGGTGGCTCCCCACCATCCCCTCCACTATGCTGAGCCTCTGCTCCAGGCCAGGGCAGAAGGGCATTGCTTTCCAGGAAAAGCCTGAGGACTGGGCTCTAGTGTCTTCAGCGTGGCAGTGTCTCTGATTTCAGGCAGTCTAGGCCCCTCTCCAGGTTCTGCCCATCTGTAGGACAGGGGAATCCCACCTACAATCCCACCGAGTTGTCTGACAGCCTAGGAGAGAGAGGTGTGGAAACCCATTAGAAGCTGAAGGATGACTGATACCTCTGACCTGGAGTGGGAGGGGGGAGGGCACAGGGGACCCCTCCTCTGAGCTGGCTGGGCCTTGCCCAGGATGCTCTGCTGCTCCCTCCCTCCCCTACTTCAATGGAGACCTCAAGGCCATTCACCCCCAGGGCAGGAGACTCCTGCAGCCCCAAGGCTGACTCTCATCAGAGCTCACCTCCCAGCTCCTGTTTGCTCTGTCTGTCAGGAGGGCCAGATCTACTGCGGCCTCCTGACCTGCCCAGAACCGGGATGCCCCGCACCCCTCCTGTTGCCTGCCTCCTGCTGCCAGGCCTGCAAAGGTGAGTCTGTCCCTAGACCCAGCAGTGCCCACCCTCCTGACCCCAGGGACCTAGCCATGGACTGTTAGGGCTGGGGGAGCCTCAGGGTACACCCAGCATGTGGCAGCCCATTCCTTAGCAAGGGCAGTGGCTTAGCCTGTTCCCCCTGTGGCAGAGGCTGCTGTGCCTCTTTTGCTGTGATCCCACAGAGCAGGAAGGAGGGGACGGGGAGGGCAGCAGGGAAGGCGGGAGAAGCAATGCAAGTGTGTTGAGGAGCTGCCTCTGCTTAGTATCAGTGTGACCTATTGCTCTAGGTGGTCTTGTGCTTCCAGAAAAGTTTGGGGGTAATAGAAGAGGAGTAAGAATTTGTCCACCAGCCACCAACTCCCATTGGTCAAAGTATCCCCCCAAGGGTAGCAATCCCCTTATGTTCCCCATTTGTGCATGCACATGTGGGTGCTAGGCCTCCCTAGGCCAGGAGGCAGGAGTGTGGCGGGGTAAGAAGTGGAGCAGGAGACATGGGCCGGAAGCACAGGCAGGAGGGCAGGCATGGGCAGGCTGAGCCTGAGGAAGCCGGCTGGAGCTCCTGCAGAGGGGCTGAGAGGATCAGAAGAGGCACAGGAGAGGTATCTGTACAGGCAGGGGCCACATCTCCTCTTGTCTTCCTCAGAGCAGAGCTCCATTCACCCCCAGGGCAGGAGACTCCTGCAGCCCCAAGGCTGACTCTCATCAGAGCTCACCTCCCAGCTCCTGTTTGCTCTGTCTGTCAGGAGGGCCAGATCTACTGCGGCCTCCTGACCTGCCCAGAACCGGGATGCCCCGCACCCCTCCTGTTGCCTGCCTCCTGCTGCCAGGCCTGCAAAGGTGAGTCTGTCCCTAGACCCAGCAGTGCCCACCCTCCTGACCCCAGGGACCTAGCCATGGACTGTTAGGGCTGGGGGAGCCTCAGGGTACACCCAGCATGTGGCAGCCCATTCCTTAGCAAGGGCAGTGGCTTAGCCTGTTCCCCCTGTGGCAGAGGCTGCTGTGCCTCTTTTGCTGTGATCCCACAGAGCAGGAAGGAGGGGACGGGGAGGGCAGCAGGGAAGGCGGGAGAAGCAATGCAAGTGTGTTGAGGAGCTGCCTCTGCTTAGTATCAGTGTGACCTATTGCTCTAGGTGGTCTTGTGCTTCCAGAAAAGTTTGGGGGTAATAGAAGAGGAGTAAGAATTTGTCCACCAGCCACCAACTCCCATTGGTCAAAGTATCCCCCCAAGGGTAGCAATCCCCTTATGTTCCCCATTTGTGCATGCACATGTGGGTGCTAGGCCTCCCTAGGCCAGGAGGCAGGAGTGTGGCGGGGTAAGAAGTGGAGCAGGAGACATGGGCCGGAAGCACAGGCAGGAGGGCAGGCATGGGCAGGCTGAGCCTGAGGAAGCCGGCTGGAGCTCCTGCAGAGGGGCTGAGAGGATCAGAAGAGGCACAGGAGAGGTATCTGTACAGGCAGGGGCCACATCTCCTCTTGTCTTCCTCAGAGCAGAGCTGGGGACAGGTCTGGGCTCACCAGGGTTCAGAGAACGTGTGTCAAGCAGAATCCAAGTAAAATCTTTGTATAGGACAGAGGGAGGCTAACACATTGGCTAGTGAAAGAGCAACTGGCTTGAGCAGAATGAAGTATACACATGGTCAGATTGTTCCTTGTGAGCTAGGGTAGTCCAGGAAGGCTTCCTAGAAGAGGCAGGACTCAGGGAGGGGAGGGCTTCACAGTAGAATGCTTCCTTTGATGCTGGCCTTGTGGAAGGGCACTGGACCAGAAGCTGGGTGACTCCAGTGTAATCCTGGCTCTTCGGGCTAATTCCTGCAGAGTTGTTCCCCTCTCTGGGCCTTAGCTACACCACGTGTGTACTAAGAGGTTGGCTTAATTGGAGTCTAAGTCCAGTGTTCTTGGTGTTCAAACCAAGAATGCTCAGAGGAGGGAGCCAGGGTGTATGTGAGGCAGAGACTGGGGAAAGAGAATCCCACTCAGGGCTCCAAAGGGCCTTGTGAGCTGGTCCTCCAGGGGGTGGAAGATGGAGGTGTCCTGGGGTATCCCACCTGAAGGGGCAGAGGGGCTGGAGAGGGTCTCGGGGAGTAGAGGAGTATAGATCAAGACCTGGGAACTTCAAGTGCGGTAGGATAGAGTGGCTGCCCAGGGGACTGCAACGAGCAGGCTGCAGGGATGGGATTCTGGGCCTTTGGGCCACCCATGATGGGCACTGAACAGATGCTCGGGCCCATCCAAGGAGTTCAGTCCTAATGGTGACCAGGAGGTCAGTGTTGGGAAACTGAGGCAGCAACCCAACTGTAAGGACTTCATCAACCCAAAAGGCGAGGAGAAGCTACAATGAAAAGTGGGAATATGTCCCTTTTGGGGCAAAGGGACCAGCTAGTATGCAGGGGCTGCAGAAGTGCCACTAGGCAAAGCCTAGAGGTGGAAGCCCACAGGACTCCAGCCAGCAATGCAGAGGAGGTGCAGGCTGACTCGACTTCCCTTTGGGTTTCCAGATGGGTCAGGTGAGAGGTCAGCTGAAGAGGACACCACACAGTCACACCGTGGAGTGGTGAGTGCACAGCTTTAATGGCAGGTGTGGAGAGGAGGTAGTGGGCTGGTATCCAGGGCCTGAATCTCCGTCAATCTGGAGCAGAGTAATGTGTCTGTCCTTCGTTCAGCCCACCTCTGGGCAGCATGTTCCCCCAGGAGTGGCCTCTGACTTGACCCAGCCTTGTCCACCCAGCTCCTGAGGTGTCAGTTCTTTGGCGCTACCTCTCTGCTCCCTGCTCTGTCTTGGCCCTTCTCAATCTTGATGTAGCATTCAGATGGGCTAACTCTGGCTCTCTGAGGTCGGAAAGGGGAGGTAGGAGAATGGGCTCACACACCGACTCAAGTCCCTGTCCACCGTCTGTGGCATGTCTACAATGTGGACAGCTCCACTGCTCTTTCAGCCTGGGTCACCTGAACCCTGGGGCACCGGAGGCTGACCGCCTTCTCCCAGAGTCTCAGCTAATGAACTCTCCCACCTCCTCTGCCAGCCTCTCCCCTCCTGGGCTGTACCTCCTCACGTGGGGGCCTGTGCTGCAGGACCTGAGCACCTCTCCTTCCCACCCCCTTGCTGGGGGCACTGTGCTAAGTGAAGTCCACCCAGGCTTAGTTCCAGGCCCTAAGTAGCTACTTACTGGATGATGTGGGCAAGTTACCATTTGGGGGTTGGGCTCTTCAATTCCTTCTTGCTTCTATTCCACTCGACAAGCATTTCCTGGGAGCCTTCTAAGTGCCTGGGTCTGTGCTGGAGCCCAGGACACAGTTCCATTCTGGGAAGTCTTGCAGGCTCAGTCCAACCAGCAAAAGACCGACTCAGAGACTGTGAGGCAGAAAGGGGCTGTGCAAGAAGGAATGTGAGTAACTCAGTGTCAGTGAGTTAGCGTCAGCGGGTGGGGGGAATAAGCTCTGGTCCTTGCCCCCAGCTTACGGGCTCCTCTGCCAGGGCCTGGCACTGACCCCAGTACGCTGCCCTCACCATGTACCCTTTGCTCTCACTGCCAGCCCTCCCTAGACCCTGTCTGGAAGAGGAAGTCTTGGAATCTTGGATTCAGGGGCTCAGGAAAGGGGGCTTTGGAGACACCGTGTCTCCATATGCAGCCTGCTCTTAGTCTTCCCTCTCCATGGGATTCTGGGGCCTAGAAGGATCTTCAGAGGCCCTTTCCTTGTCCCACAACCTAAATCTTCTCAAAGAATTTCCTGACTCTAATCCTCACTCCATTTTCACCATTTATTTCCTCAATATTGTTTTTAATACTAATTTTATATTTTTATATATTTTAATATATAGTATTAATATATAATGCAATAACATAAATTTTATGTTTAATATTGATGGGAATTGAGGTCCCTGATCACATATATCTCCCAGATCAAGACCTCAGCACCCTATGCCCACCCCAGCCTCAAGGCCCTGCCTCTAATAGGCTTGAGAAAGGCTTGGTGCAAGTTGGATTTCCAAATACTATCCTCTGAGAGTTTTCAAAGATCCACTGTCTGAGAACGTCTTGGACCCCATCCACATCTTCTTTCTATCCCCAGCCTGTGCCCTTTCTTCTCTGGGCAGTCCTGTGGGGTGCACCCTCGGGCTGCTTGCTGCAGCCTCTATCTTGCTGCTCCCGCACCGGCAGCGGCCCATCAGTGATCTCCCTCTTTCCTGCCATTTGCAGAGACATTCCCAGGACCCATGTTCCGGGGACAGTGGGAGGCGGAGAGGCCTGGGCACTCCAGCCCCCACCGGCCTCAGCTCCCCTCTGGGCTTCATCCCTCGCCACTTCCGGCCTAAGGGGACAGGCAGCACGACAGTCAGGATTGTCCTGAAGGAAAAACATAAGAAAGGTGGGAACTGGAACTTCCTCCAACCCCTGAGGTGGGGAATGGGGACCCCAACTGCTCCCACTCCCATCCATGTGCCCCCTACACAGTGGTTCCCCAATCTTAACTTGACCGTGTGCTTGCAGACTCATAAAACATCAAAACTTGAAGGTGTCCCTAGAGGGCATCAAGTCTAAGCCCCCATTTGATGGATGAGGACACTGAGGTTCTGTGTACTGAGTTAGAGACAGAACCAGTCCTGGGACCAGGCCTGTGGGTCAATACAACAATGCTTTTTTTTAGCATCTGCCATGTCTTTGCTGGGAATTGAGGGGCACAGAACAGAGAGATGAGAAATGGTCCTTGTCCTTGAGGTGCTCCAGACATGTGAATAAATTGCTGTAATATAAGGGAAGGCTGAGAGAATGCTTTTGACAAAGGAAGTGGTGAGCAGGGCTGGGCTGCAGGATGGTGGGATGGAGGGGAGAAGGGGGCCAGGTGGGAGTTCTGGCAACAGACTAGGAGGAAGGAGGCCTCACTGTAGGACTCCCTGACTGATGGATAAGAAGAGCTGCGGAGGCATCTGTCCCAGCCCCTTCCTGTAGAGATGCTAAGCTATGCTGAGGCTAAGAAGGGTGAAGGGATCTTCCAGAGCTCATGTGGCCAGGTAAAGACAGAACTTGATCTCAGTTCTCCTGCTGGAACAGTCTCTCTGCTCCACCAGAGGTACTCATGAAGGTCAGAGGAAGGACTCCTGAAACTAAGTTCAGCAGGAGTCTCACGTCTCAGCTCTGAGAGCTGAAATGGGAGAGATGACAGGGATGGGGACCAGCTTCAGGCTCTGGCCTCCACTTTGTAGGCAGGGTGGCTGGGCCAGAGTGGTGGAGCAGGGGCTCCCCAAGGCCCCACCCCCACCCATTACTGGACTCTGGCCTGTGTCCAAGCCCTAACCCTCCAACTTTCAGCCTGCGTGCATGGAGGGAAGACTTACAGCCACGGGGAGGTGTGGCACCCAGCCTTCCGCTCCTTCGGACCCCTGCCCTGTATCCTGTGCACCTGTCAGGATGGCCGACAGGACTGCCAGCGGGTAAACTGCCCTGCCGAGTACCCCTGCCGTCGCCCTGAGAAAGTAGCCGGGAAGTGCTGCAAGGTTTGCCCAGGTACAGATTTACCCTGGGTCTGTCTCCCCAGAGCACAGATACTTGGAATATCTCCAACATGGGTGCAGCATAGATTTAGAGCTATAGGATGCAGAGTTCTTAGATACACAGGAGTAGAAAATGCCAGACTCATAAAATAGAAGCCTTATGGAACCATCTAAAGTTACAGTACCAAATTCAGAGACTCTCAGACATACATAGAATCAAATAATGTTCTGGATTCTATGAAGTCATGAAATCTTAGGATATTAGGACTTTGAAGAGGAATAGCCAATGTTTATTGAGCCTTATCATGTGTCCTGTAGGTATTTGCATGCATGAATACACAGAATACTCACCACAATGATCAGGGCAAGTGTCTCTATCTCTACTTTACAGAGCAAGAAGATAAGTACCTTGTCCCAGGTTATAGAGCTGTAAGTTGACAGAGCTGGGATTTGAACCCTGGTCTATGTTACTCGAAAGACAATGCTCCTGACCACTGGAGTCTTCCTTCACCCCCTCATCTATATATGGGAAAACTAAGACCCAGAGAAGAGAGGGGACTTTCCTAAGTTACACAGCACAGTAGTAGCAGAGCTTGTAACTAGATAGATCTCAGGCTTCCAAACCTGCCAGCTGAGTTCTCCCAACAATGTCATGTGACTCTAAGATTAACGAGTGTGCAGAAGAAAACATCAGAGTGTCTTACTGAGATGAGGAGCCTGTGACTATCAGTGGCAGCTGTTGCGAGGGACAGGACCTTTCTCTCAAGCCTGGCAGGAGAGCAGGCAGGGTAGGAAGCTCGGGCCGGGGTTGTGCCCTCACCACATCTGGCCTGAGGGCTGGGTTGGCAAAACTGAAAGGAAAGGAATGGGGAAGAAAAAGAGGAAGGAAATATGCCTCAGGAACCTACCAGTGCCAGGCATTGGACTGTGGTTTCCCATACTGTATGTAATCCTCATTGCTCAGTTATTTTACAAATGAGATAGCTGAGTGGCTTCAATTATCCTAAATCTCCAATCTAATCTAATCCTCTCAGAATCTAATGTCAGGAAATTTGAGTTTGGGTTAGCTTGCTTACTGACTGCCTTACCTAACTTACTGTTGTGAACTTAGACAAGATCCTTTGCCTTTCAAAGCCTAAGAGTTGATGAAAATGTTTAATGAATTGTAAATCAAAATCCAAACATAAGGGATAACTATTATTTATCAGAGTAATACACTATTAGGACACAGTCAGGCAGGGAGCATGACAGGATGGTGCCTGGAACACATGAGGGGGTGGGGGTTCAACTTGAATTCCCTTTAAGACTGGCTGTGGCTCACACCTGGGCTTCTTCACAGACACACCAGGACCACCAGCCCAGTCCATTTCCCCTTACAAATATTGAGACTGTAGCCTTACAGGTCTTCACTGGACATCTCAAGGATTACACAACTAGTAAGAGTTTAGGAGGAGGAGGAGGGTGTGTGTGTGTGTGTGTGTGTGTGTGTGTGTCACCCTCACCCTCACCCCCTCCCTTCCCTGACAGTCACCAACATCACTGCCACGGCCATCACCATAACCATCATCATCGTAGCTGCCATCATCCCTTAGGCACTCCCAGCCTTTCGTCCTGTGTGTTTCACTGAGAGCCTGTGCTCGGCAGTGCGAGTGACTCAAAAGACTTGGTGGACATGGCTCCTGCCCTTCACCCTGTGGATCTCTTTTGAAGAGAAAACATAACCATGTGAAACCACTATAAGGCAATGCAAGGCAGCATGGGATTAAGAGCATGAGTGGGAGGCATAAGCAAGATGGGTTTTAAAAGTTGTGGGTCAGAGAAAACAAGGTGGGCTAAGCTTTTCTAAGTGGACTGCCTAGAGGAGGTGGAAGGTGAGCTTGGCCCTGAATAGTGAGAAGTTTTCTGATATGTTTATTAGTGTAGCAGAATGGGGGAGATGCTACTTCTGTTTTTCCCAGGGGCACCGAAATTTTCCCAAGGCCTGAAGAGGCCATGAGGGGGATGTCAGAGCAGGACCCATCTTCCTGGGTCTACCAGGCAAGGGTAGAGAGACAGAGTCACCAGCTCCTTGTCTTTCCCAGAGGACAAGGCAGACCCTGGCCACAGTGAGATCAATGCCACCAGGTGTCCAAAGGCACCAGGCCGGGTCCTCGTCCACACGTCAATATCTCCAAGCCCAGACAACCTGCGTCGCTTTGCCTTTGAACGTGAGACCTCTGAGCAGGTGGAGATCTTCCTCTGGAAGCTGGTAAAAGGTGAGCATTGGCCCACTCCCAGCTGGGTGTACCCCCCTTTCCTGTGCTCCAGGCGCCCCCAGAGGTCTTAGGAGGATTTTGTTAATCAAGTGTCTCTGGCCCAGGAAGACCTGCCTCTCTCCACCCTTCCAGGCTTAAGAGTCCCCATTCCAAGACAGATAGAGACAGTGATTCTGTGATTCTCCGACAGCTCTGATAAGCTCACCCACTGTTGAGATGCCGAGACTTCCAAGTGCTCCCTCTCCTGGACGGAGGGGGTTGTTGCACCTTGCATGAGCCAGGGCAGAGCAGGGCCTACCCTGATGAAAGAGATGTGACTGGGAGAACTTGAGCATCCTGTGAGGGGCAATCCGTCAGGCAGGTCGGCCCTCACAGCATCCTCAAAGCAGGAGGGTCTGGGAGCCAGTCTCATTCAGCCTTTAGTGGATTTTATCCCACCAAGACAAGTTGACATCAGAATATATTTCTCATTCTGTGAGAAACTCACCCTAATCGACAGGAATAGGCTCATGTCACTAACTGAAGCTCCAAAGGAGTTTTCATTGGTAAGAGAATTGCTGAGAGTTTAGTTTCCTTACTCTTCTGGTAAAGCATAGACCCCCTGGGTAGAGTAAACGAAACTAAAACCATTAAAGCTGAATTAGCTCTAAGGTCACTTTTCTCTACTGATGGGTTTGGCTGGGCTGGGGTGACTGGGAGTGGAAGATGGGCTGATAACCAGAATGATGACAATGATAATAACAACGAATGTGTGAAGCACTTATAAAGAATTTACAAAGTGCTTTCACATTCATTATCTCATTTGATCCTCAATGATCCTGAGAGTTAGGTATTATTATCCCCATTTTACAGATGAGGAAACTGAGGCTCAGAGAGGTGAAGTACCTGGCCCAAAGCCACACAGCCAGTAAGTGGAGGACGGGAGCTAGAGCCCCTGTCTTGTGACGTCAGATGCGGCTCCTTCCCTGCTCTACTGTGCCCCCTGTCCTAGGAGGAATGGAGGAAGAAAGCCAAGCTGTTCAGCCTGGAGAAGAGAAGACCCAGGGGGACAGGACTGCTGGCTTCATGGCTCGGAAGGACTGCCCCAGGCAGAGGGACCGCAAGGGTCAGAACAGCAAGGAGGGGCTTTGGAATCAGACAGACCTGGGTTTGAATCCCAGCTCTGCCATTTCTTAGCTGTGTGGCTTTAGGCAATCTCTTGACCTCTTTGGGTCTTTATTATCTGTTAATTGGGGAGGAGGGTTTTGGAGGATTAAATGAAATAACATAGGGACAACCTCTGACCTATAGTAGGCACCAACAATGTCAGTATCCTCCTCATCCCACCTCATCAACCACAATTACAAAGAAGCAAGTTTCAGCCAGTGAGAGGAAGCCCTTTCTCATACCTAAAGCCTTCTCATAATGAAGGGAGGAAGCAAGCCCATTCACAGGAGTGTGCAAGCAAGGGATGGGTGGGGATTCTGCCGCATCTGAGGAGTTAGATTCAGTGACCCTTTTAATTGTTTTGCACCTTGAGATTCCATCAGTCCCTGAACAGGTGCTGGCTGCCTGATTACTCTAGGCCTCACCCCACTCCCACCAGACACTGGGACCACAGAGTGTAACTAGTCCCAGCCCCTGCCCTGAGGAGCTCGTGGCTTAGTGGCCTGCATGCAGCGGGAGCTCAGTGGGAGCTGAGCTGGTCAGGGAAGGCTTCGTGGAGAAATGGCCTGGTGCTGGACAGGATTTTAAAAGGTGAGAGGAGCACACTACAGGCAGAGAGGCAGCAACAGCTTTAAACGCTGGCTTCACAGACTACGCTTATAGGCCCTGTGCTCTGATTGGTGTGTAACAGGCACTATGTATAATGTGCTTCATTTAATCCATGTAAGAAAGCTGAGGGTTATGTATTAATGCCCCATTTTGCAGATAAGAAAACTGAGTCTGAGAGGCAAAATGACTTGCTCAAGTCACACAGTTTAAGCAGTAAAGCAGAGATTCAAACCTGGGCCTGACTGTCCCCAGTGCTGCCTTCACAGAGTGGCACGTCACTTATGCTTCTAGGGAGGTGTCTGAGGAAGGCCAAGGCTGTGCCTTAGCATGGCAGAGTATGTTATCATAGCTCAAGGTCAATCTCATTGCTACCAGACCTAGCAGAAAAGGAACAAGGTGTGGGGGGGGCTCTTCAACTTCACAATGCAAGGTTCTACATCCTGCAGCTAGCAACAACCTCCCCCACCCTCCCAACCCCCAATATCCTGACACCAGGGGTTGCCTAATGCTCCATCAGCCTCCCCATTACCTCCTTGTCCCAGGACAGTGGTGGACATTTCTGTGACAGTCAAAACAAACACTCCCAATGTCTGATTGTCAGTGGGAAACCTTCACTGTTTCCTCACCCAGAGGGGTGGAAGCAGCAGGTCTTGGGGGCTGGGAGAGAAGGGGGAGAATTGGCCTAGAGACAAAGGGAGCAGGTAGATGCTAAAACCTGGGCTAAGTGAGGCCTTACCACAGCCTTACCCCAGGGCCCCAGAAGGTGAGCAGAGTGGTGGGTTAGGGGTAAGGGCTTTTAAATTATGGCATTTCAGAGGAGAAGGGACCTCAGGGGCCTCTATTCCACACCTGTCTAGGAAAGAAGTCCGCCTGCAGCCTCCCTCAGACCTGGCAAAAGGCAAGAGGTGCAACCATGACCCTCAAGCTAGCCCTTGATTCCAGGCCCAAAGCCCAGTTCTTTCAATCATGCTTTACAGACCACAGTATAGGAACCTGCCTGCAGCCCTGTCACCTTCTCTCCAACTTGTGTTCTAGGTTTATGCCGTGGCCGGTCTGGGCAGAAGGCCCTGTCTCCATCTCATGCTTATGATGAAGACTGGGCCTTTCAAGCAAATCTCTCCCACATCCTGCTTCCTAGCATCGGTGTGGGGGGTCCTGAGGACAGTGGTGGACATTTCTGGCTTCCTGGACCTCAGTCCCATGACCAGTGCTGTTTATTTCCCTCAGGATCCCACTCAGATTCCCAAAAGCAAGGCCAGTTCTTGGTTTTCTTGGGGCCAGTGTTGACCTAGCAAAGGCCCTGCTGTCGCATCTGTTCTTTCTGGCCTCATACCCTGGTGGTAACAGCTGGCACAACCTCACAGCCCATGTGCCCAGGGCCTCAGTGCCATGTGTGGTGCCTGCGGCCAGTTCCCTCCAGGATGCAAACACTAGGAGATCCAGCTAATACCTCATTTCCCCCCTCAGGGCATATCCTAGACTGGGTACACATATATTTACTCATCTGTCCCTCTGTCCATCCATCCATCCATCCATCCATCCATCCATCCATCCATCCATCCACACATCCATTCATTCTACATGCCTAATGAGGGCCAGGCTCAGGGGACCCAGAGAGAAAAGCCCTCTAGGACTTTCACTCTAGTAGGAGAAGCAAGAATAGACACATGGTAGCCCATTAAAAATACATAACAAACACAAACAGAATCCAAGAGCTGTGGGTGTGCCAAGGAGAAATTATAACTATCTTGGGGGTGGGGGGGTGTTCAAGGAAGACTTCACAGCAAAGGCCTAGAAGATGAGTAGGAGTTCACCTGGTGGCAGTAGGAGAAGTAAAAGCAATCAGACCTAGCAGAGGAGGCAGCATATGTAAAGACGTGGCCCCTCAGGGGACTCTGAGTAGGTTAGGGCTGGAGTACAAGCAAGGCCCTCAGGGAGCTGGGGTGGTCTGAGCCTTGCACTGAAGTGGGGCCTACAACTCTGACACTTGTAGTTCTTTGGTGTCAGAGAAAAGCTTGATGGGTCCATGTGGGCCCAGCAGCCAGCCTGCCCCTCCCTTCCCTGCCCTTCCTGCCCCGCTGCACTGAGGACAGGTGAGTAGTATGGCAGCAGGATGGTGTGGGTGACAGAGCAGGGTCAGCAGAGAGGTGATGGGAGGTTCGAGAAGGGGAATGACAGGGTGACGTGTATATTTTTGAATGACTGCAGTTAGGATCCCAGATTAGAGGGGCATAAAGAGGGCCAGAAGTCTAGTGTCATGACCCAGGTGACCAGCCATGATGGGTCCTGAATGGGGGGAGTGATGGTGGAAACAAGAGAATAGATTCAAAATATTTAGGACATTTAGGATTTGGTGTCTGGACAGCATAGGGGAGGGGAGGGAGGGTACTGGGTCCGTGGTGTGTCTAAGCCACCCTGTTTCACTGGTCACACAGCCCTGCCTTCCCTGCTCATGCCCTGATCTCTGCCCTCAGGAATCTTCCACTTGATTCAGATCAAGAAAGTCAGGAGGCAAAACTTCCAGAAAGAGGCACAGAAATTCCAGCTCCTCATGGGCACCCATAAAGGTGGGACGCTAGGCTGAGGACCGGGGCCTGGCAAGACAGCAGGGCCAGCGGCTGGGCCTCTCAGGGAGTTCAGGCAGCCGTGCAGGGAGGGGGGCTGGCGGGGGTCAGCCACAGACGTCAGTTCCCGGCACAGGAATCCAGTGGGTGTCTGGGCCAGAGATTTCTCAACTTGGGCAAGAGCTTGGGACCAGGAAGGTGAACCAGAGCCAGCTGAGTTTGGTCCTGGAGGTGGGGGCAACAGGGCTGCGGAGGAGGGAGGTCTGAGCCCCCAAAGCCTGGTGCTGCCAACTCCCTCTCTATTGGCACAGTTCCCATTGAAACCCTTCTACCAGTCTCCTGATGCCCTTAATTTGCTTTACACTGGGAAAGATGGACCCAGGTGGGGCTTCAAGTGGAGGATAGGAAGTCACAGATGGGAGTGTCACCAGTAGGTGTCAGGAAGCCAGCCCAGTCCCCAAATGCTGGTTGGTTGAAGGCAGGATCATGTGCCAGAACTGATCAGGATATGGGGGCCGGGATCTGATGGGGATACCCACCTCCTTTCTTCCTGTGGGTGCCAAACCAGGCCCATGCCATCCTCCTTGCCCTAATTTCCCCACCCCAGTTACTCCCACAACTTACTGTTGTGCACATGCACACATACACACCCCTAAATCTTTTTCCTTCCTCCATGCAGGTCACTGGAATGTCTTCCTAGCACAGATCCTGGAGCTGAAGGTCACAGCCAGTCCAAACAAAGCAACCAAGACCTTATAATAAAGACCTAAACAATTGCTGATATGAGCTTTATCATTTTTCTTGTTATATGTTAATAAATGAGAAGTTGCATCATCCCTCAACCCTGCCTGCTGAGTTCATAGCCCGTCTCTGATGTGTTCTCACAGTAACTGCAAGACAGGCCCCCTTATCCCCATTTTATAGGGCCGGAAACTGATGCAAAGGGGGCAGAGACTGGCCACTGTCCGCATGGTGAGTTGTTACCAGAGCCAGGGCTAGTTCTGCCAGCATCCTTGCCTAGGTCCCTGTCTGCCACTGGGGTATCTCCCCTCCTCTGTGCTGCTTCTGCCCTCTGCCCTCAGCCAAGGCACCTCCTGATTTTATGGGCAACCCCCTCCCAGAGCTCTGTGGCACTAAGCCGAGGAAGGGGGCTCATTCTGGTTAGCCAGCAGAGGGTTGGGGGTTACATGGAGCCTCAAAGCCCTTTCCCAGCAAATCTTCCAGTCCTTACAATTGTTAGCCACACTTCACAGTAAAGAAACTGAAGGTAGGGAGAGACAATAATCTGCCTGAAGAAACAGAGCTGGGCAGTAGCAGATGTGGAGCTGGGTGCTAGCTCTCATGCTCCAGGGTAGCACCCCTCCCCTTTCCATGTGACCAAAATTATAAGTGCAAATATTCTCACCTTAGAGGATTTCCGAGACTTGGCAATTAGACTGCCAACCCTGGGACCACAGTCAGGGAAGAAGGCCTAACAGTTACAATTAAAGACAATTTTATCCTGCCCACATGCACAGTTCCTTGCGATTTCAAAGATGTCTTAATGCCCAGGATTCTACTTCACATGAATGGTATGGGAATTACCCCATCTTAGAGAGGCGGAAGCAGAGCTTCAGGACTGGCCAGCGTCTCCCCTGAAGCCTCACAGTGATGAGTGGGGAAGCCAGGACTAGAACTGAAGCCTGCTGACTCCCAGACCTGTGCTCCCTCCCCACTGTAGCCAGAATCAGTCATTCCCACCCCCACCTGATCAGAAGCCGTGGAGGGACGGTGTGGTATCAGTGCCCTGTTGGTAGTTCTGCTGCTCACAGCCTCTCGGAGGGCCCTGGCTGTTGTCTCCCGGGCTCTGCTCTTGTACCCGGCTGGCTGAGGTCTGAGAGGTCTGCTAAGCAGCCGACCAGTGCCGCTTTCACCGAGCTGGGACCGGTGTCACCCTCATTAAACTCCCTCTGTCAGCTCCTGGGGACCTGGGTTGAGAGTGTGGGGTTTGAGGAACACGGCTGGACCTCCCTTCAATCAGAAGACATTAGCTCCTCACAGCTGCTACCTGTGTCTTCTAGAGAAGACTCACTGTTCCAGCCTTGCTCGCTCACGTCGTGGGGTTACTTTGGAACTCTCGGGATGGGTTCTAAGCATCTCACATTTAAAGCACAGGAATCTGAAAGCTCAGCCATTCACATGGCGAACTCTGGCCATCCTTCAACCCAGCTCAGACGGTTTCTCAGTGAAACTTTCTCTGACAAAGTGGCCCATCGTCTCTGCTGGAGAATGGGGTTGGAGGCAAGCTCTGTAATCAGGGGCAGCTCTGGGCCCTCAAGACAGGAATGGACTTCCCTGTACATGTTTCTTGATGTTGCAGGCCACTGCCTTTCCAGTTTCTCTAATGGGCTTATCTGAAGCCTGTAATGTTTACCCCAAACCATTTCCACCATGGGAGGCATGTTCAGCACATGCACACCTCTCGGTTTGGTCCAGACTTCTCTGTGTATATAAACACAGAGTGGCGTGGGAATCTCTAAGCAGCTCTCCCATGGCTTTACACCTCTCCAAGCTGTTATCTCCTTCCACATATTCATTCATAAAACACTTTCTGAACTTTTCAGGGGTAGGCCTTATTCTAGAGGACTGACACAGTGTATGGAACTCATACATCAAAAAGTCCCTGCCTGTCCCTAGGAAGCCAAAGTCCTGAGGAGGAGATGGAGCATCACAATGCCATTAATACTAAAGGCTGTGACACAGGGCCATGGGGAGGGCCCCTGGCTAGACTAAGGACACATAAGCAGGCTCTGAAGGAAGAACAGGAGTTAGAAGGAGGTGAAGGGAAGGAGAGGAAGGTGGGAGACAGTACAGGAGGAGACACCCAGAAAGATGGAAAAGAGCACATTATAGGGAGAATCACAAACAGCTTACTGTTGCTGGACACTGAAATCTGAGGCAAAGAGCAAATGGAGCTGAGGCTGACTACATGGCTGAGAAGCTCTGGTTTCATCCTGAGGACAGCAGGGAGCCCTGGAAGGGTTTCTGTGCCTTGGTCCAGTAGTGGTTTGGGAAGCTGGCTCCGCCTACTGGGTGAATAGCAGTATGGCGTTTGGCAGAGGCCAGATGGAGGCCAGGTGGGAGGCTGCCATGGGCATCCATGCCGGGCAGGAGAGAAGCGATGGCGATGGAAGGGAAGGCAATGGGGATGGAGAACTGGATGTAGGGCTGAGGGAGAGGGAGCAGGGCAGCGTGCAGCTGATGTCTCACATGGCAACTCAGGGATGAGCCCAGAAATTGTAGCTGCGAGCATGCTGAGTCTCAGGAGATGCCCTAGTCCTTTGAGTATATTATGCGTCTAGAGAGGAGGCTGGGCCAGAGGTGGGGAGTCAGGAGCTATTGGCTATAGGTGATAGCTAAAGCCAGGAGATGGGAGACACTGGCCTGGGAGATATTATAGAGGAACAAGAGAAGGGACATAAGGACAGAGCCTTAGAGCATCACAAAGGAACCACTGTGGAGGGGAGAGAGACACAGGAGGGTGCCAGCTGAGAGTCCAATAAGATGGTGTCTGGAAAGGGCCTCCTCGGAGATAGGAGGCTTCTGGTGCCTGTGGCAATGGGCAATGCCAGAAGGGCTGGAGGCACGGGCAGGTCCTGAGCAGCAGGTGGTGTCTGCGAGGTGAGGAAACAGACAAGTCTTTGAAGAACCTTGGTGGTGGAGGGGAAGACAGAGCCAGGGCAGAGGCTGACCATGGACATGGGATGCAGAAGAAGGGTTTATCCAGATGGGAAAGATTTTAGCAAGTCTGGGTGATGAGGAGACCTCACAGGGGAAGGAAAAGTAGGAGAAAGGGGAGTAAGGATGGAGGAAGGGAAGGTTTAGGGACAAGTCAAAATCCAACCATTCTTCCTCAGCCGCTAACTCGCTGCGTAACCCTGGCTGCTCTCCCTGTGAGTGTGACAAGACAGGGAAGGGGTGGCCTCCTGGGGCTGCCCAGCATCCCCCGTGGGGCTCCCAGCAAGGAATCCTGCGGGATCCACTGTCCTGCTTGGTGGCCAGTCTGGGCACAGGCTGGGCTCTGGATGAGTGGTAACATCCCCTCCCACATACCTAGCCATTAGTTAACAGGGCACATTCACGTCCATTGTCTCATCCAAGCCCTAGGACAGCCCCAGAGATGAGGAAACTAAGGCTCAGGTGACCTAATCAACACCATACAGCAGTAAAGGCAGGGCCTGGATTCCAGCTCAGGTCTGTGATTCTCTGTCCTGAAGGGTCCCAGAGCACTGGCGGGGTCATGTCTGGGCTGGGGCAAGTACAGCCGACAAGGGCCCAGAGCTTCTGTTCCACTTGACCTTCCCAGTTAGCTTTCTGGCCACCAGACCTGACCATCCTGTGGTGATGCCAAGCCTAGTCTTCAGGTTTCCTGGGAGGCTTCCTCCTCCTCCTCCTTCAGGGGCTGCGAAGCTACCTCCTCTTATACCCCATTGAACTTGGGCTCTGGGAAATGGCAATATTTCTGAGAAACAAGATGTGGCCTGTGGCTTAGGGCTGGCCTGGGGGTGAGGGAAGGCCTGGGGCGCCATCAAACACAATGACATCTGTCTCCAAGGCAGGCCTGGTCACCCTCCCTTCTGCTCACTCTGGTCCCTGGAAGACACCCCCAGCCTGCCTTCTCCTGCCTCAGGGCTAGTTAGTTCATGGAAGAGGAACAGGAGGTGCTGGGAGAGGCTGGCAAGGATGGAAGGGGTTTCTAAGTACAAGGAGTTGCCTCAGGACTTCTAGGATGGGAATTAGGACCCAGATCTCTGGCACCCCTCAAGGCTGTTTGAATGACCAAATGACATCTGATGTCTCTCCCCAGTCCCTGGCACAGAACAGAGCTCACATAACGTGCCCAAAGTCAAACAGCAAGAGTTAGGGCTGTGGTGAGAGCCCACAGTGTCTGACTCTGAAGTGTGCCCCTCCCCCCACTCCATGATGTCGGGGCTGAGGATGAGGAGATCGGCCTTCTCACCAGTTATACTGCACCCGGCCTCTCCCCTCCACCCCTTCCCTTTCCCAGCAAGTCTTGTCTATGAACCCAGAATGATCTCTCAAAAACACAAATCTTATCCTGTCTCCCGCTCATTACGCCCCTCCTTGGATGCCTTTCCTCAGTCATCAGGATGGCACATTCCTTCCGGCCCTTCAGGATCAGGCTCCTGCTGCCTCGCGCGGCTCCAATTCCCCCATATCTCACAGCAGCACCTGGGGAATGCTGCCCTACCTAAGCTGGGATGGATCTGGACTCCAGGAAGACCTGCATCACAGACTCTCACACCATCAGGATGTTCTCTCTCTGTTGCCCCCTACGTATCAGTACTTTCTTTCCAACCAACTCTTTCAAGAAGCAGACAACACGTGGTGCACTGCTCAGCATCCTGATAACTTTCAAGTAGGTAGGGTACAAAGGATCCGCCTCTCCAATTCCAGTACAAAGAGTCTGGAAAATGACTCAGATGGCTCCATCTTGGGTAGTACACAATAAAACTTGGGTAGTCAGGGATGAGGTACTAGAATCATATAACTGGAGTGGGAGAGAGCAGTTCTTCCAAATGAGGGAGTGGGCAGCAAACTCATGGTCAATAAAGGGATCCCTCTCCCCAGGCTGCTGCACTATGACTTTGGACCATTTCCCAAACCAGTGTCCTCTCCTCCATACCCTAATCATGCTGTTCCCTCATTCTGGAATGCCTTTCCCTATTTTCTGCCTATAGTACTCCAGCATATCCTTCAAGTCCTCTCCAGAACAGCCTTCCCTGGTCCTTTCTGCTGCT